AAACACATTACATTCACACATGCTGCTTGTACAGTTTTACCCAATAACTCTTGGATTATATAAAATTCTAGTTGTGATACGAGTATATACTATTATATTGTTACATTAATTAAACTAAATGTCATAAACAATTTAGACTGAGTATTTTATTACTCGCATATCAACTTGTATACTATGCTTACTGTGAGGTATTGAAATTCAATATGGCAAAATAAACACTGGCTCGTGTTGGAAATCCATACCAAATATCCTATGGATATATATTGTGGGGAGAACCTAACTTTTTATCGATATATTGTCTAAAAACTCATAATAACATTTTAAGTGATTATTGTTTAAAACAGGACAATAAAAGAACATAAAAGGTAATTTTCTCCGCTATTCGTATGTATACTCTTTCTGAAAACATATGTTGCTTTAGAGCCTGGAGGTTTCATAATTGACACGATCGCCAACTGTAACCCTCATAGCACTAAGACATTATATTGTCATATTGTATGCCATATTGTATAATATTATATAGTTCTTGTATACAAATACTACACACATAATATAATAATAATTATACAATCGTCAAATGGCTTTAGTTCAGTTGGTGTATTTGAAATGTAGAATCAAGGTCATTTTTCCTTTAAGACATTTCATTTTTCCCCAACAAAAACGAATTCCCCATAATATTAGAAGGTTTTCTCATAGTAATACAAATGTATAATATTATCACAAAATGGGGTACCTACACACTATAAGGATATTATTTGTGTTCATTAAAGTTTAACTCAAACGTTTTAAATTCGATGTGTTGTTGAAAATTATGTGATTTTGATAACATTTTAATCGAATTGGATAAGAGTACGAGGGTAAAAAACCCTCTAAAAGCACATGTACTATAGTATAAAGTGATATAGTTTGTGTATTTTGAAATGAAGACAAGAGATATACCTCTAGAAGGGAGATGAGAAGTTTGTTAAGTTATGTCTGTCTGAACTTAAGCGAAATTGAGTTCTTGAATAAAATAGACCAAAGAAAAAGTAAACTCACATATGAGTAGGTTATGAGTAGGTATATGTTAAAAAAAAATATATATAAATTATGTTAGCATGTAAAATTAAATAATATATAATTTAATAATTCCCTTCTCCTCCGCCATCTATCTGTTTTCTACTCTATTATTTTTTGTTTATAAAAATATCTAAATTACTTTGTAGCTATTAGCTACACTATAGGGTATAATTTTATAATGTGGCAGGCGACAAAACAAATATTACTTTTGAGGATGACAAATATTCTTAAGATCCCTTTTTAACAAAAATTATATTATTTTTTACCTATTTAGACAACAATAGGCCAACGTCCACTTTGCATTTTTATTCTTAACCATACAATTTTTATACACATAAACTTTAATAAAATCTTTTATCTGATCATCTAAAATAGTTTGAGTAAAACAAAAAAAACCTCGATTATTGTTATCAAAGGCGGTGGTTAAAATTATGCTAAATATGAATTTTATGTAATAATAATAATATTATACTTAATAAGCAACCACTTCTCCACCATACACAAAAGGACATCTTATGTTACATAAGCGTTTAAAAACCCCTACTGTACAAAAACGGCACGCGCTAAACTAATTCTACGAAATCGGTAAAATAGAGATAAGTCATCAAATTAATGTGATCTGATCTCCCATTCTTTGCGTTGGTGTTGGTGGATCTTTTAAAAATTCAGATCTTCAGGTGTGCTACTTTTCTTTAGTTTAATCTTACTTGTTATTTGTGTTGTTTAGCTAATTAATAGATTTCAATAAAAAATAAGTATTTACTGGTAGGCTTGACTCCTAAAAAACAGTTAAGGTGCTCAGTGTCCCGTTAAGTCAAGCATTATATAAAATATTTAACGTACCTAACTTGGATATAATATAATTAAAACCAAGTGTGAATAAATAAGCATGCCCAGCTAATACTTTAGAACTTTGCCTGAAGGTACTTGAAGGAACATATTAGAACAGACCTTCGTCCTTCGTTTGCAGCTATCAATGTTGTGTATTGGTAAACTTCCAATAGGACGTATTCACCGCATACCACGAGCTAATATAATACCCCACATTGTCACGTATAATAATATAACGATACCTATTAACTGTTTATTAATGGTTTATTATAATAATAATAATAATGTCTCGGTGTAAAGTCACCCACTCAGAACTGAGCCTACTCCTAAAACGATTGTTGTTTGCCTTGCTGTATGCTAATCTATACAAGAGACTATAATAGCTAAGCTATGTCTACTTATTGGCTAATTTGTACAATAATTATTACTTGTTATGCGAATCTCACAATAACGTTGACTGTTTAGCATAGCAATTAGTATAATGTTCACGAGTTTGTTTAGCATTACCATTGTGTTTTACACGCTTTATACCTATGTATACCTACAAGTCAATAAGGTACACCCGTCTTATAAATTAGGTACCACTAATTGAATTCTTCTATACAGTTATACCAGCACGAGAAGGACGGGTGGTACACTTGGTTTTTTAAAAGATCAGTTTATCGACCAACTAAGAAGGTACATGAACTTTTATAAACACTATTACACGTACGTTAGTTGTTGTGATGAATTTATAAGGTATAAAATACGGAACGATAACATAATAACATTATACTTGTGTGTAGGTTAATTAAACGGGATACCTTTTTAAGACTAGTATAGTTAAGTCTTACATCATATATAGGTAAGTAACAAATGGTGTTCGTTTCCAGAAATGGCGCAGAACAATCGTAGGTTAAACATATTGAAATAGCCTGGTTGTAAGATTACAAAATAATAATAAATAATACAAAATTGGAATAATTGTGAATACATCAAAGCAATGTCACTCCACTGCCATAGCTCGGAAATAAGGTTGTTATTTATAGCTTGGTGCAAGTATTCGCATTGCACATTTAGTCATCCGACCACACGACCAATTAACTTAATGTGTCATTTCGAAACGGTCAATAAAAACAATTCCAAACAATATTTAGGTACTAACCACACGAGTACACGCCCAATTTAATAACACAATACAAATATTGGTAAATCTCAATACATATCTACCTGTTTTCAATTTCTTACAAAATAAATTTAAGTAAATGTAAAATATCTTATTAGGTATAGAAAAAACAAAAGCGTTGCTCTTTAGAAATATTGTTTAGAAATTTTAATTTACCCAACAATTTAGAATTTTGGTAAAAAACAAAATAGATTTTAATTGGATACCTAATGTTGATACTTATCATTACATATTAAATATACACTAGGGAGGTTCTATTTGGCCACATTTAAGATCTATGTGACGTTTTTGTATACTGTAAAATAATTAAATAATAATTTCATGTATTTTCGTAGGATTATTGATTAGATTAAATAGGTACATTTTGTAACATGGTGAGAAAATGTTTCGGTTCAAACAAGGAAACGAAGGGATTCAATTCAAAATCTCAAATAATCATAGTAGGTATTTTTTTTAAACTTATCTGTAACATGTTTTCAAGAACCCAGCATGAAGTCAAGAAAAACGACACTTATGAAATGCACAAAACCGTTTTTAAAAATATGTACTCTTGAAGCTCAAACTTAAAACTAAAAACTATTCACAGGATTTAACAGGTGCATGTACATACATTAGACGGTAAACGGTCAAATAAAAACTTTAAACTGCCATTCGTGATCAAGTGATTATTGTGAAGAATTATAATATAAATATATACTCTTATGTAAAAGCGTCTGTCGGTTTGACCACGGTGATATAAGACGTAGGTAATATAATTTAATGTTCGTTATATATATATTATTATTATTATTATAGATACTTAGACGGTACAGTAGTAATATAGAGCTGGACTGTCCGAGCTACAAAGGAGACAATGGAGGCCTTGGCGATTAGGTACGGACGCGGTCGTATGAGCATCTCGCATAATAATAATAATAATAATAATAATAATATATAACTTTTAGTGCACACTATGGCTGTATACAATGTAATGTGGCGAAGGAAATTCATATACATGCATTTAAATTGGAACGCAGGCGACCGAATGAGAAAGAAAAGCGGGTTTCTAAAATAATAATAAGCTAGCGATACGGAATCTGTATCGTTGATCGTTCAGTTTTATACTAGTATAATATATTATATAATTTTTTTTAATGTTGATTACACCTATAAAACCGTTGTTACAGCCGTAGGAAGTATACCGGCTTATCGTATTTAAATAATTAATATGTATGCAGACACTGTTTTAATGTGTTTGAACACCATAGAAATAAAGAGCGTAGGTGTAGTTTTAATTAGTTTACTTTCCAACATTTACACAATTAGTTAGATGCCTACGGATAGAAACAATAACGTATATTAAAAATATGTATATATATATATATTCGATATTATCAGATGAAATAATGATTTATGACTTAATTTCAAACTAAACGCGTTGTGCACTACATAACTTATAAATGTTAACCTACAATAGCTATAGCGACACCAGAAAAAATAATTATAGATAGTGCAAACAGCAGAATACACAATTTGCAAGTAGGCATTTAAACAAATACTTCTCTACGATATTAAATTTTAACTGTATAGCTGTGTAAACTACAAACTGGTTGACAATATCACGCCGTTAAAACAAAAAATGAAAAAAATTTAGATAAATATCGAGTTTCCAACGATTTATGGTAGTTTTGAAAAATATATTTTTTCAATTCAAAATGTTCGAAGGGGACCAAATAATTAAACATTTTTCATTAAGCATTGTTTTAATTTAACAATAAATTTAATATATATATAAATGGGTTTGGTAATAATTTGGACTGAAACAAATGCTTGAAACAAATGAGTATTGGCATTGAGTGTAGATTGAAAATACTTAATGGTATTGTTTTTGGCATCCCAATTATTAGTACGCCTATTGTTACTAACGAAAAACAGTAAGAAATCATTAAAATAAATGTTAACTTGCTTTTTTCCCGCGCTTAATAGTTTTTCTGATAGATTTTGTCATAAAAAGTTGTCTGCTATACACACATTTATCGTTTAAAAAAATACGCTAGAACACTAAAAAAACAAACGACACTTCGATTACACAACCAACAGACACGACCGTTCAGCACACACTAAACAGAAACTGAACCATACTCTATATCAGCATTACAGGCTATACAGCTATCGTTGCGCTCTATCTAACCATAAAAAAAATGTGATCCTATCAGCTGTCTGCGACTGCAATCACCACATGCGCATCTTTCTTTTCCCCTCCTCGACCACGATGGTCCGTGTTTAAGCGCCAGAATCCATTAGAAATATACGCAAATTAAAAAACCAGAGTTTACTATATAATATATATTTACTATTTTTTTAGTACACGCGTTAAATATATAAATACAATTAAATTTTCCATAATTATTCAATCCGTACTAAAAATATATCTAAATAGACATAAACTGAAAATTTTTAAATTTTGATTAAACTTTGTCCTTTTTTAAAGGCGATTTAAAAAACAGATTTGAGTTCAGTAAAAAAATACCTGATCATAACTATACTATATTTTTTTTTTCCAACACTATGTCAAAATTTGAGTAATAATTTTTAAAAAATTTTAAAAGAAATACTTTTCACCAAGTTTTACTTTTTTTGGTCTCCAAGTCCTTCTATCATTTGTGGTTATTTTTAAAATGTTCTTAAATTTCTCAAAAACCTACAAAAAGTACTTCATGAGCTGAATTCAGCAGAGAAAATATTTAAAAAAACATGAAAATTTCAAATCGTACTGATCATGATAAAAATGGCACAAGTGTTTTTTTTTTTATTTAAAAAATATCAAGACGACTTTAAAAGTCAACTAAACGTGCCAAAAAAATATCTGTGGCCAGATTCAAACTGAGCAAAAAAAAAAAAATACATGGGTGATGATTTTTGTTCCAAAATTATATTATATAGTGTTGTTTTATTAAAATTGTATAGTAATATAAATAAATAACAGCTTTTCTTATAACTTATGTATGTACATTACACCTATTTTTATACATGGGGCGGCGAAATTTTAAATTCTGGCTTGAATCTGATACATAATCATAAAGAAAATTCGTCGTTTAGTTTTTGTTTTAAATCATTTTACCTAATGGCTTTTGTGGTATTATACACACTCAAAATAAAACAATAAGATTGCGGTAGCAAATAATTAACAAAATATAATTGTCTACCACCTGCCAATTTTCTTTATTATACAAATACTGAAATGGTTGCAGCTGCTATTAGCTGTTATATTAATTATTATAACGAATTTTACTGCCTTAATTGTTTGTATATATGTGTTATGTTAGACTGGTTATAAAATTTGTTTTATATTTTTTCGCCTCCATAACGAAAAATGCATACATCTCGGTAAAAAAAAGTATCTGGTAAAAGAAAACTATTTTTCGTATTAATCATAGTTATAGTATTAAGAACATAGGGGAAGAAGTGTATTTGTCCATTTTTTAAAATTATTTTGAGATAATGACACCATTCAATGGTACATTGCGTCACAATAATGTATGGAACTAACATTTTATCAAACATGAGTTTTATATTATTTTAAAATTCCAGGTCGTACACCTAACAAAACATTCGACTTCACATTCTAATAGTACTTTGTTAATTAACAAAGTCGCTTGCATATATTTGTGTAGAGAACATATAGAGAATAATATAAAAATGCAGTACTCAATTAAAATAATCTAATGCAATGCCCACAGCATAATAATATGCAGCCAAAAGGATCAGTTTCTAACGTGTGCTGCTAGATAGCTCCGTCTCTTGGATATTAAAAATTAATCACTTCTTATTTTACAAATTGCTCAGAAAATACAAATATGGCAATAAAAGTGCAGTTTTAAAAAATATTAATAATTTTACTTTTTACTTGACATTTTTGACAAAGCACTCGATTTGTTCGTTGGTTAGGTGGTCTAAAATGAAAATAAATGAATTATTAACGTTGGAAAATATGACTTTTTCTTTTAGGTTGTTACAATACTAATCTTAAATTAAAAATATTCATTTGTGAATTTACTTACGACTTCTTGAAGTTAGAAGAATCCAACATAGTTTGATTGCTAAGTTAGGATTTTAGCTTCGATGCAGGGCCTATTGGTTTTACTGTGATGCAAGCTTTTTTATAACGTTTTTTATAATTATTATAACGTTTTTATGAACTCACAATCTTGTTTGTCGTTCCGGGTGGAATCTTGGAACTCAAATTTCGAGCACTTCCCGATTAGCTATCCGGCTGAAACTTTCAGGGTAGCTCACAATTCGATGACAATGCATTATTAATCCACAAGAGGTTGAAAATTCCACCTCTAAGGGGGATAAAATGGGGTCGATTTCTTGTCCGTCGTTCCGGGTGGAATATTGCAATTTAAAAAGACTTATTTTTCACGCGCCAGCAAAAATTATGCGTGGTGCGTTTGGGCGTGAACGGTGCTCAGATATGAGCGGTACCAGGTTCAAACCCGTTCCCATCATTAGACTTTTTGCATTTTCTTACAACTTTTATGATAATTTATATAGTAATTATAACTTAATTTCAACTTTTATGATAATTTATACAGTAATAAATCTAAAATTATAAGCTTTTAAACTGATTACTAATTCTTATGATAATCCTTCTGACCATGCAGCATTTTCTATAACATGTTATAAACTTTTTATAACATTGTACATTTAAATATATAGGTACGTACATACGAAAACGAAAAAGAACAAAATAACTAAAGTAGATTAAAAAATTAATCTAAAAATAACGTTTTTATGCGTCTTAAAAAGTATAAAATAACCTTCCAGGGGTCTTGATAACCAAATAGGACAGGTGAACTAGAAAAACGAGGGGCGCATCTTTACTACTTCACATGTCTGAATATATAATAACATTCGCTTCTTCAAAATTTAAAATTCCAATTCTTGAATTGTACGCATAACATTTTAATAATGTACATGTTGTGTTAAATTGTTTTATTTTACAATGTTTTGGTTTTCAAATATTTTATTTTACATCTAATGGTTTGAACATATGAATTATGTGTAGTCAGGTATACATAATTTTAGCACCCCTTAAAATGTAGTTCTAGTTGCGCCTATGAAGTCCCGCCCCTTCAGACATTATTCAGCAATTCATTTTGTCCAAGTGTCTCAGTTTTCGTACTTTCAAGTATGATTTTGAAACGGAATTAAATCAAACCAGACAATATTGTATAAACGTCACCACGTTACCGAACAAGAATATAGAAAAATATCTATGGTAGCATTGCTAGGTAATTGTTGTTTGATGAAAAGTTTTCTGACTATAGTCTGTAATAATTGATTTATTTATTAACCATTCATTATCTGACAACAATTTGGCGTGTTTAACGAAAATATTTTGATTATTCGCGAGTTAAAACTAAACGGTTGAACAAAAGAACTTTAATAAAAAAAATACCAGAAAAATGCTGACTAGTTTACTGGAGAAAAACTAGGTCAATAACTGTATGGTTCCTGAGAACCCTACAAGGATACGCTGAAGGTAGGAATGGAAGTTTATACAATTATACTACAAAATGTATAATACCACCACAATATTTTAATATTTAAAATTGAGAGGATTGAATGTGGTCTATTTTTTTTTTTTTTTTTTATTATTAAAAAGCCTCGACTGCAGGGTCATTGGCGTACAATTTTGGTATACATATGTTATAGTATAATAGGGAGAATTACAAATAAATTAAGTATACAATTGTTTAGATAAGAGAGAGTAGATTTGATTTTTTTAGAAATTGGATGATGTTGCGTTCAGCCTGAAGGTTGGGGTGAAGTGCTGCCTGGAGGTGATCTGGGATGTTGGATTCCTTTCGGATGTTTTCATATTTCATGCATTCGGTGAGGGTTCTATTTTTTGGACGTTTTAGACCTAAAATCCTGACAAAATTAGCCCTACTTAGAATGGTCCGATTTCAATGACTTTTACTCATAGAAAACATTTTACTCTTTAAAAAGTATACAATTTTTAAACGGTAATGGTAATTTTTGGAAAGGTGATCCTCGGTCATCAGATTTTTAAAATGTTGAGTTTATATAAAAGTGAAATTAAAAAAAACACGTTTTATTTGTATTTAATTTCAAAATTAATTTGTATAAAGGACGAATAAATAAATAATATACATGAATAGTTTGCTCATGTAATAGTATTTAACATACTTTTGAAGTAACATTTGTTTTAATTAATTTGATTTTAAATTTATAATAATGAAATTTATTACATTTGAAATCATTATGTATTGTATTGCTAGTTGCTAGGTTAGGTTTGGTTATTAAACAGCGTATTTTTTTATTATTACTTGACAACAGTCAACAATACGGCGTTTTTTTTTATCAAAACAATTATTTGATTTACTCATGAGTTTGAACTAAGCGTTTTCGCAAAGAATTTCACTAAAAAATACTAGAAAAGTTTGCCTGGACAAAAACGTGGTCAATAATTGCATAGTTTGTAAGGACTACTGAAGGTAGGAAAGAACTACATAAATACTAATACTACCGCAAAATCGCATGCTACAGAAAGATTGAAAAACCAAAGGGTATGTTTTTTTGACGTTTCAGAATTAAAAGCCTTACAAATTTAGCCCTACTTAGGATGGACCGAAAAAATATTTAAGTATATTGTCCCCAGTTCAAGGTTATTTGTGGGAATCGATTTTTGATATTTCAATTAAAATATGAATTTCTATTAACAAGTTCAATTTATCAACTATTTTGTATTCAGTTATTAAAAAACGACTTCAACAATAACTTGGAAATAAGCCGATGAGCTTAAATATGTTTACAAAATTAAAATTCAATCATTCTAAGTAGGCGTAATTTTAGGTCTAAAATTTTTTTCTTGTACAACCAAAATAGCTTTAAGTCATAGAAAAAATTGTATACGTTAACAAAAACAATATCCTGAAACTTGTACAAATTAACGTAGACGATATATGGCCGACATTTATTACAACTACTTTTTGCTTAAATATTGCCTATATAAAACTCCTTAAAAACCACCCCCTTTCAAGCCATAGCCATTTGATATTACAATTTGAAATGTGATGTTGAATCTTTTGATATCCAATATTATAATGAAATATCATCT